ATCCGACCAATTTCTCGGATTCAAGAAATTGGACCGTGTAAACAGGCCTTTAAACCTGCCGGAATGGGATTCGTAATAATTTCGCATCGGAATTTAGTTCCGAGTGGAATCAAGAGCTCGTAATACGACTTAACTGACATTCACGGATTTATGACGTCACGAGAGTTTCATTTCGATCGGAATCAGATTCCGTGAAGCTGGTAATAGGGCCCCAGACGTTTAAATGAAAACGAATAGTATGGAAAAGAAATTGATAAAAAATGTTTTATATAATGAGGTTTTAATTTTATCATTGTTTATCCTTGCTTTCAATTGTTTTTTACTTACTTTCAAAAAATCGTTCAGCCGGAAATATTAATTAACAGTTCATATTTGTTTGAGATATTTCTTAAATAATGCGTAAAAGTGCAAATCATTGGTACACAAAATGATGTGAAAAAAAATCAATGAAAAATGTACATAGTGAATATTCAGAATTTGTGAATATTCAGAGATCTATTGTAAATAATTTTTAATCTTATTGTTTTCACCTTATTTTTTTATAACAATTCAGACAAAAATGTTTATTGATCATTGATAACATAATTATTTAATTTTTCATTTGTTTTTTTTTTATTAGTATTAAATATGACAAAAAAAATTAAATTGCTTAATTTAATTTGTCGAATTTCAGTTACATATGTTTTTATAATATAATTTGTTTTTTGTCTGATCGAAACTGAAATATTTTGTTATTCGACAGTATTGAAGTTAATTGGGCTATTACTTGCAATGGTTTTCGCTTTTGAAATATTACTCAGCATCAACTTATTAATATTACATGTTTTAATTTGTTTGCCATATTTTAAAATATTTTTTTCATTTGGTTTTAATTGCTTTCAGTTTAAAATTTAAATTACAGGGGGGAGGGAGATGAAGCACCATATAGGGAGAGTCCGGCATCCTATAAGATCAACAATGATTTGAGTTAGGGGTAAAAATATACTTGAGGGTGCCCCTTGGCAAAATTGGCGACTTATGTTTGGCGCCATTCCTATTTGTTTGGAACACCGTGGTAACAGGAATGGCTGACAAAATATAATGTATTTCAATAAAACATTGGAAAATTTCAACAAAACATCGGCCAAAACCTTATAAAATTGCAGAAACCCGATATGAGCAAAATTAATAAGCCAATAAAATGCATTTTGAATCGAAACAAAAATTAATGGAGTAAGCACAGAAAGAAAATTTAAAAAAAACAATTCACTTCTTCGTTAAGCATGAATATTCTCAGATTTAGGTGCACCGAATTCTCTAATAGCAGTTAGATACTGTCTAAATTTATCATGAATAGAATCTGTGTACCTCCGTCGCCACATAAATTTGGCGAAATACGAATCGAAAATGGCGTTTGTGGTACCGGACTACGATGACATTTTTTTTCTAAAGTATCTTTTTATGATGACTGCCCGCATACCTTCGATCTTATTGACCATAAGCAAAACTAACCTTACCAGCCGGTATCCAACGTAGAACTAACGGACGTCTGAAATAACATATACCGTTGAACATTCAAAAATAACGCTAAAATCTAAATCAATCAGAATCACGATTAGGTTACAACATCGCCCAGCTTGGCGATCACAACTCTGCCACGCGTTATGTACGGAGATTAATCACCGGCTAATACCCTATAGTAATGTGTTAAATAATATTGCTTTCTCGCTTCATATAAGTTTTTAATATTGTTTGTATTAAAATTGCTTTATATAAGTTTATAATGCTGATAATAAAAACCTCTGACATTTTACAATCCTATCATATTCTCTCTATGTGATGTTGGTGCAGAAAAATTGCCAGCTAATCTCCAGGAAAACGACTTTAATTTTGTTGGCGAAGCGAACAAAAATGTAATTGCGTAGCAGTTATCGGGGGTTGGCGAGCGTATATATATATATATATATATATATATATAAATTCTATGTAAAGTCATAATTGTCAGGTGATAATATACAGCTTTATTGCTTTTACGCGGCAGAAACCGGTTTGCACTTGTTTTACGTTCGTGTATCAACTGGTTAAGATTGTAATGCAATACGTTAAAAATAAATACAAATAGGAAGTTTATAAAAAATCTCTTGAATAAAAGCCCTTTACATGTATGTTTAAATATAAAAACATTGCATAAAAACTCGTGCAAAACATGTAATTATTAAAAAACTATAGTGTGTGTAAAAATTTTATCTAATTATTACAATATAATAATATAATACCTGATGCAATAAATATTCTATATTTTTATAATATATCGTCTAATTTATCCAATCGTCGAATTTATATTACATATCGCCTAATTTAACCAGTTGACATACGAATGTAAACAAGTTTCAAACCGGTTTCAGTGGCGTAAAAATAATAAAGCTGTATAGTATCACCTGATAATTAAGATTTTACATATAATCTTATAGTGTGTCTAATAATTTGTCTAGGGACTGTATATATATATACACGCAAATTAAGCAATTAATAAGCTTTCATTTCTATGTAGCGTTTTTTATTAGTTACTTTAATTGGTTATTTCAAAAACACCTTATTATTTAGAAACAACTATTCATCATCTAATTAAAAGCTTTTTAAATGAGCTTTCTGTTCACACATCTCGGTCGCATCTGTTCAAGCGTTCCCTATAGGGAAATATGATTTCCGGTATAAAAAAATTTTTACCGCCTTATGAAACACTGATTCCGGTATGACATTGAATCCGGTATGACAGTAATATACCAGACCCAATATTATACCGAAACAGGTGTTTCATAAGCTGGTATCATATGAGTTCCGTTACGATACCGGATTTGACAATCATATCGAAACCCGTGTTTCATAAGCTGGTATAATACTGGTTCTGGTATGGTGTCAGAGCTGGTGTTTCATAAGTTTGCTTCAAACTAGATCCATCGTTATACCAGGATCTCTGTTTTATAAACCAGTTTCATACTAGTTTTAGTGATACTGGTATCTGTCATAAAACCAAGACCAGCATTATACTGATATTAGCATTGTTCTACCCCCAATGTATTGGAATTTGTGCTTTAAAAACTGGTTTATTTGTTTGCACCACCTTACGAAAAAGGTTAACATGATGTCCAAACCTCTGTACTATAGACATAATTATGGTAGCTATACTAATTACATCAGGACCTACTTATCTTATTAAGAGATTCAATGAGATATTAATACAGCTTCAAAATTTATTTATACAACAGCATTGAAAAAAATACTAAGACATTATAACTTACAAGATTAGTTTCAATTATATATAAATTGCCTCACTTTAATAAACTCAAATAAATAAACATTAAATATTGATATTGTTTGCTTAACATTTTTATTAAATTTTGTAAAATGCTTCTGATTGCATTTTTTAAAAAAGTTTTTCATAGGAGAGTATAATTAAAATAGTCTCCCAATTATTCACAATTAGCTGTGTTAAACACTTTTAACCGTTGGAAAGTCCTAAACTAAAAGAGGTATGTGATTTAGCAACAGTCATCACATTCTGTTTTATTTATTTATTTTTATGTAAGAGATTATAATGACCCGACTCTGGAAATGTGAAGTTGCAAGGTAGTTTTCCATTCTTGCTAATACTAGTCTGTTTTACTTAGACTCAGACACCTGTGGCAGCTTTTTATGTCACACAGTAAATGTTCTATGCAGCACAATGTGTACTATGTCACCAGAAAAAAGTTCTCAATCAAGGAATACTTACTACAAGTATAAATTTGAATAGACTTTTTTAAGTCTCATTAGAAAAATTTTTCAAGAGCTTCAAATCTGGTCTTATGCAATGTATAAACTCTAATATTTCAGATTATGGATTTTTAAGGGCATAAATAACGTAGCTAATTGAGGATACAGAGATCCGTGTAAGAGGGGGGGGGAGGTTTCCTTATTTTTTAATATCTTTTATGTTTTGAAAGGATCCATACTAGTTTTTTTTATCCGCATAAGATCGAACATTCTTGAAGAAACAATTGTCAGCTAGACCAAACAATACAAAGAGAGACCTAAACTTGTGAATAGATGCAGCAGAGAAAGATCATTGAGTTCTCAAAATAATGAATTGGAAAAATTTGGTCTCTTTCGAAGCTGTTAAAAAAAAATATTAAACATGTCATTGCTTTNTATAATTAATAATTATATAATTAATAATTATATAATTAATAATTATATAATTAATAATTATATAATTAATAATTATATAATTAATAATTATATAATTAATAATTATATAATTAATAATTATATAATTAATAATTATATAATTAATAATTATATAATTAATAATTATATAATTAATAATTATATAATTAATAATTATATAATTAATAATTATATAATTAATAATTATATAATTAATAATTATATAATTAATAATTATATAATTAATAATTATATAATTAATAATTATATAATTAATAATTATATAATTAATAATTATATAATTAATAATTATATAATTAATAATTATATAATTAATAATTATATAATTAATAATTATATAATTAATAATTATATAATTAATAATTATATAATTAATAATTATATAATTAATAATTATATAATTAATAATTATATAATTAATAATTATATAATTAATAATTATATAATTAATAATTATATAATTAATAATTATATAATTAATAATTATATAATTAATAATTATATAATTAATAATTATATAATTAATAATTATATAATTAATAATTATATAATTAATAATTATATAATTAATAATTATATAATTAATAATTATATAATTAATAATTATATAATTAATAATTATATAATTAATAACTATATAATTAATAATTATTTAATTAATAATTATATAATTAGTAAAATTATATAATTAATTATAATTTATTAATTATATAATTTTATTAATCAATTTTAATTGTAGGAAGTAAAACTAGGAAATTTTTCTTTTGAATGACTGAATATTCATTATCGATATAATGGCCATCCAAGAAGTCAGATGGACTGGAGATGGAATAATTGAAAAGAAAAATCACACAGTTATCTATAGTTGTGATAAGAAGAAACACATATTTGGAACAGGCTTTATCCTGAGTAAAAGGATAAGGCCATTATTAATAGATTATGTCACCAAATCATCCAGACTATGTAAAATTAGGATTAAGGGAGCTTTTTTCAACTACAGTTTCATTACCTTTCATGCTCCAACTGAAGACAAGGACAGTGTGGAAAAGGAGCTCTTTTATGAAGAACTGCATGCTTTATATGCATCCTGCCCAAAAAATGATGTCAAAGTGTTACCAGGGGATGCAAATGCAAAAATTGGCAAGGAAAAAGAATTTAGATCAATAATTGGCAAATTTAGTCTCCATGACATTTCAAGCGACAATGGAAAGCGACTTATTGACTTTGCTGCAGATCATAATATGATCATACCAAGCACGATGTTCCAGCATAAGAGGATACATAAAATGACCTGGCGATCTCCTGATGGGATCACATACAATCAAATCGATCATTTTTTGATTGATTCCAGGCATAAATCGGATATTGAAGACGTAAGAACCTACCGAGGTGCCAACTTAGATTCAGACCGCTTCTTAATAATAGCAAAACTACGAGCTAGAATCTCCAACATTCGAAAGATTCGAGGAAAATGTTTGGAAAAGTTTGACCGTAAACAACTAAAAGATGAGGCAATTAAGCTCAAATTCCGGAATCAAATTGACAGTAACCTTGAAGAATCTAAGGATAACCATGGGGAGGAAGATGCATAAACGATAAATGGAACTCTTTGAAGGAAACAATCGTTAAGACTGGTAACGAGGTTATTGGAAAAGCTACGAAAACTAAAAGGAAATATTGGTTTGATTGTGAATGCTACACGATAACAGAAAAAAAGAATGAAGCATATAAAAAGATGCTGAATAAGAGAAATTCTAGAAATGCTGAGATCAAATACAAAGAGGGAAGAAGGGAGGAGAAGAAAATTCATAAAACAAAGAAGGCATTTCTCGACGATCTTTTAAAAAATGTTGAACATTTAAGGGGATCTAATGAAAGCAGAGCTTTCTTTCGGGAAATAAACCTAGGACGAAAGGAATTTAAACCCAGAACTACCTCATGTCGTGACAAGAATGGGGCAATCTTGACTAACAAAATGCAAGTATTGGAGAGATGGAATGAGCATTTTTATGAACTACTGAATGGAATTAGAGATGAACATGAACCACCTACAGAAGACATTGAAATTTATAACCAACATATTGTGGAACTGCCAACATTAGAAGAAGTCGATGACGGAATAAAAAAGCTAGAGGACAATAAAGCACCAGGCCCCGATGAAATCCCATAAGAATTTCTAAAAAATGGGGGAACAAGTGTCACGAAGAAAATATATGATCTGGTACGAGCTATATGGGAGCAAGAATTAATCCCTGAAGAGTGGAAAACCAGCATGACCTGTGTGATACATAAGAAAGGAGATATACTGGATTGCTCAAACTACAGAGGAATTAGCTTGCTCTGTACAAGTTATAAAGTATTTTCTAACATCTTTTTCAAAAGACTCTCCCCGCTTGTTGAGAATATAATTGGAGATTATCAGTCCGGATTCAGGAAGGGGCGATCCACCTCAGAGCAAATTTTCAACATCCGGCAAATTTTGGAGAAGACAATAGAATTTGGTATTGACACGCACCATCTATATATTGATTTTAAAACAGCCTACGATAGTGTTAGCCGAAAAACTCTAATATCAGCCCTAAGAGAATTTAATATACCGGAGAAACTAGTGAAGTTGATTAGCTTGACACTAAGTGAAACCAAAATCATGATCAAGATACAGAATAGTCTTTCCCATCCAATAGAAATTAGAAATGGTGTACGACAGGGAGATGCCTTGGCATGTCTTCTCTTTAATCTAGCATTAGAAAAAATAGTAAGGGACTCAAACATCAACACCCGAGGAAATATCTTCAACAAATTAGTTCAAATATTGGCTTTTGCTGATGATTTAGATATTATCGCTAGAACGCAGACAGCACTAACACAATCCTTTTTATGTTGGGAGAAGGAAGCCATTAAGATGGGATTAAGAATCAATGAAAATAAAACTAAATATATGCCATGCACAAAAGCTGGCTATAAAGAAACACAGTTTGAAATTGGAGCATGCAAATTCGAAGCCGTTGATAGCTTCACCTATTTGGGATCTAAGATTAACAACAAAAATGACACTACACAAGAAATACACACGAGAATCACGATGGCNTTTTTCAAGAACCTCAAATCTGGTCTTATGCAATGTATGAATTCTAATATTTCAGATTATGGATTTTTAAGGGAATAAATAACGTAGCTAACTGAGGATACAGAGAGTTAGAGGGGGGGGGTTCCTTATTTTTTACTATCTTTTATGTTTTGTAAGGATCCATACTAGTTTTTTGAATCCACATAGGATAGAACATTCTTGAAGAAATTTTTTTCAGCTAGACCTTACAATATAAAGAGCGACCTAAACTTGTGGATCGATGCAGCAGAGAAAGATCGTTGAGTTCTCAAAATAATGAATTGGAAAAATTTGGTCTCTTTCGAAGCTGTTAAAAAAAATCTTCACTGGTCCATGAAAGACAAAGAATTTTTTCTTTGTAGAATGAAGCACCTAAAATAAATAAACCTGATATGAAATGAGTTTAGTAATTTAATTAAAATAAGTCAAAAATGTTGAAATATTCATCAGTATCAAAAAAATATCTAGATTCCAGAGTAGACTGACAATATTGTCTGTTAATAGATGAGCTTGCTATAATATAGATATCAGGTCAAATTAAGCATAATAAATATCTAGCATTTTTAACCAAGTTTGGTAAGGTTTTAGACATAATGGTAAAAATAATGATTTTCACCATCCTGTCCAAAACTAGTATATTTGTAGAAACTTCATTTTAGAAGCATTAAATTTTTAAAATTTTTTTAAATTAAGTACAAAACAAAATAAACAACTTATAAATTAAGCTATTATTTACTGTTTTAAGTTAGCAATGGTCTACGTGTGATCCTTCGTCGCGAAGCAAAGGTAACTGTTGATAACAGAGCTTATAACCAAAATGTAAATTTACTTTTATTATATTGACTTCAACATTCTCTCAAATCTAATCAGACATCGGTTTCGAAGGGTGCTTTCTCGACATAAGTGTTGGTACTAATATCAAACAGTATATAGTTAAAAGATTTATTTTCAAAACATTGCCCACAATTGAGAAAAAATATGAAATTTATATTTCTATTTAATTGAAGACTTTATGGCCACTAAGTACTGGTAGGCAGCAAGCTGTTAGAAGCCTGAACGAATAACATATTTTTAATACAGATTTTATTTTTTAATACTTTATCATAATTTTATTAATTATATAATTAATATAATTAATAATTATATAAGTAATAAAATCATATAATGATTAATTATATAATTAATAATTACATAATTAATAATTATATAATTAATAATTACATAATTAATAATTACATAATTAATAATTATATAATTAATAAAAATATATAATTAATTATAATTTATTAATTATATAATTTTATTAATAGATTTTAATTTCAGGAAGAAAAATTAAGAAATTTTTCTTTTAAATGACTGAATATTCATTAAAAAATTAATGAGTAATTGGGAAATAACTTTAAAAACAGAACTAAAAACCTCGAGAAAAAATTAAAATTTTAAAATGCATTTTTAAATGCGAGGTATTTATTTAAAAAAAATAAAATTTCAGTATATTTATCAATCTAACATGCTATGGTAGGGCAAAAATTTATTTTCTTCACTTTTTAAAAACTTTTTTTTTCACTATGCCAGAGGTTTTGAAAAATAAATTTATTATCTAAATTCTTGAAAACATTTACTGATATTTAATTACATAATTCTCTTCATATTTTGCTTGATTTGATATTTTTTTAAAAATGATTTTTATCTTAAAATGGAATGAACAGCAAACTAAATGTAAGCTGGTATACATTATTTATCTAGAAATCATTGCATATATCTAACGAATTGAGGATAACAAAAATCAAATTTAATTATTAATGAGTAATATATATTTTAAAATATGTATAAAATTAAATATAAAGCCATTAAAAAAGCAAAATTTAAAAAAAAAACATTATAAAGAATTTTCTTTCTATATTAAATTTATCCGTTTAAATTTTAACTACCTATAATGCTAGACAATTGTATGGTTCATTTTTAGTTTTTCCATTAAGTTTCTTTCAGCGTTTTGAAAGAAATAGGTCTGATCTGAAAGATTTCCTTGCCTTGTTTAAGTACTTATGTTAAGTTTTACTATGTACCTTGCTAAGTTTTACTAAGTGCTTTTATAATATTTTTTCAAGTTGATAATATTTCTTCTACTAATTTACTTATGAGCATGGATTAAATTTCAATGAAGGAGGTTGAACAAAGGGCTGAAGGTTGAAATTAAAAAGTATACTTTCAAGTATACGAAACTGATTAACAATGTATATGATTATACAACTTACAGCCTATAGACTAAATAAAGCCCTCAACTGTTTTGCAACTTTTTGCCTCCTACCTCTAAAATAATAAAAAATATTTATTTAAAAAAAAATTAAAGAAATATTTATTAAAAAAAAATTAAATAATATGTGGCAAAAAATTTAAATAATTTTTTTTAATTTTATTCATTAATTTGAAACATTTAAAACAAAAATGGCTGAAGTATTTCAATAAAATATTAAAATTTAATCTGCAGTTGGTCAAAATAGTAAAAAAAAAAGAAGATTTTCAGGGACCAAAGCTTCGGCCACAGTACAGATTAAGCATTGAACAAACGTTGAATGAATATATAATATCATATTATACTCTATATGTTTTGACATTTATAGCTTTGTGAAATATTTTCAGATTTCAGTGTATTTTTTATAATTGATATCATCAATCGAAGTATTTACTTTTGCTTTGCACTGGTAGTGCCAGGAAAACAGATAATTAATAATATAAAATTCAGATAATTAATAATATAATACACGTGCTGAATAAAAAAATAATCAGCAAATGATAAAAATTTAGACTTTACTTATTTTTTGATAAGTCTCTACTTGTTTGATATTTTGTTGATAACCTTCATCAATGACTATGAAATTAATTAAATTTTGGTGAAAGATTTTTTTTAAAAAAGATTAAAATATTACACACATAACTACTATATAAACTATAATTATGAAAGAAACCCCTTAAGAGTTGTCATTATCGTAAAATTTGCCCTAATAAATAACAATTGCCTAATTAATAATAATGAATTGTTTTCAAAAATTTCATAGCTAGATATTTAAAGAATGTTTCCTGCAATATTTTAATAGCTTCGTTTTAACAACTAAAATTTCTCTGATAATTAATGCTTGAATATAATATAATGGGCAATAGCCCGAATGACAGTATTTTTTATTATAATAATAGTTGTAAAAAGAATATTCAAAGAACATAAATTGTTATAGGCTGAATCACAACTTATTATTTCGCCAGTTCAAAGTTGTGGCAGGGTGGCTGACTTCGTTTTATCTGTAAAAATGGAGTTAAAATTTCCAGTTCTATGCAATTAGTTTCTATTTGGAAATTTTATGATTATTTTTAGAAATGGAAGTTATTAATTTCCCCTGAATAGATATTAATTTTTAAGGAGTGGAAAATACTTACCTAATTAACTCTTTGTTACAACACGAAGACACACAGCCATAGCCAATGAGAGTCAAG